TTGTCCGGGTTGAGGTGCGCTTGCGGGGCTCAATGGAAGGCTCTGGTGAGGCGCCAGAGGGTGGGATTGAGTCCTGCGTCCTCCTCCAAAAATCAGTTTCTGAGCTTTCACCTTTGCTTCTCCGAGGTTGCTGTCACCGGATTAATGTGGACTGTAAATTCAAAGCCACCCAGTCCCATTATATAACCTCTTCACATCGGGGGTTTTAGGAATCAAGAGTCTACATCAGCTTGATGGGAGCTTTTCAGGATAGCCTCTATGGCTTCGAGGTCGTCACTTGCCCGCAGATGGCAGCTGGCAGCTGCAGGGCGCGGAACTGTTTCTGTATCCAAATTTGGCTGTGGGGTGTTGAGTGGCCCCAGATGAACAAGCCCCATCGAGGGACGTGAGTTGTGTGTTTTCACGGGGGCTAGCGATCTACCGAATCGGTCAAAGATGTGGAGAATCGCACCTGCAGTGCACGCCACCTGCAGTGGGTCCGTTATATATTGTTTGTTGTTTCTGGGTTTTGAGGCCTACGGAGAGCAATCGCCCTTTGCTGGACGAGGCTGGGTCTTGTGATTTTTTTTTTGTGGGAAGATCGGATCGTTTGTGTCCCTGAATGGAGGTCCACCTCCTCGTGGTGTTCCAAGGCTGGATGTGAATTGCCCCCAGAATGTCCGGCTCAAGTGTGAAGAACAATTAGGAACAATGAAAAAACATGAATAGCCATGATGGCTTTAGGTGAAGAATTTGTGCATGTTGCTGTGGTGCCGGGTTCCTGCGTTGGGGTCCTTGGTTCGCCGATATTTGGGAGGCTTCGCCTCACAGTGCAGCATGCCACAGACGCTGCACAGTCGGTCCAGGACCCAGAAATCATTGGAAACACGGAAAAGGCTCTAGTTTAAGCAAGCAAGCACCCCAAACATATCAAACACTCGCAGCGTCACTTCAGCGATGCCCATCAGAATTGAGAAGAAAGGTTTCATGATCTACAATGATCTACAGTAACTCCTTCAAATCCCTAGGCCACAGTCTTGGTGGATTTACATCGGAGCGGTGCTAACCGAGTTCCTTTGTGGTGCCGGCCTCAGGGATGATAGGCCGTCATTGATCATATTGATCCCCACAAAGCTGGAATCGATTTGCCTCTAGAAGTCTGTTTGTTGGAACATTTGTCTTGGTGGGGATGATGCCAGGATATGCCAGGATCACACTCATTCATTCCATGATGCTTCACCCAAACAGGGCTTCTTGGGCCTTGAGCCACAGCCGTGATAGATGAAGCCATGCGACTCGTGGGTCATGGCTGGGCCAGGCACCTGTGAGCGTGCTGAGGTCCGGTGGATCTGGCTCAACAGTTGCTGGCTCAGACTGAGTGGGGAAATATGACACTCATGTCTCGAGGAGTCATTCCTGGGAACTGATCTGGGAAGAGGGGACCCGACGAGGGTTTCAACTGGTCATGTAAGCTTGTTGCAACGACTATGGTTCTTGCATGTCCTTGCGATTGGGCTAGAGAGTGCTTGTAAACCCAGTAAACCCATACACCTCAAGTCACCTTGTTGAACTTCGCTCAGTGTCTATATGTAACAAGTGAGATTGTCTGAGTGCCGACGAATTTCGCTCCATTTCGCTCCTCTGGCTTGAAAGGTTGCCTGTTTTTGGCAAATCAGCTACCTTTGGGTGTTCCTTTCCATGCCCAGGCAACTCAGAAGACGAGGACGGCCCGGGTCGGCACCACCAGACGATGCCGTCCCATGACGAGTGTCTCGCGAACCGCGTGGTGAAAAACCGGATTTGATTTGAGCAGACATGGTGCAACTGGTTTCTGTCGGTTGGTGAACCAACATTTGGGACCATGCCAAATGCTTCGATTCCATCCTTCTAAATGACCGAGCTCAAGTGATTCTTCGTTCGCCAGGAAATCCACCCTTCGAGCGCGGGCCTTGATGTTTTTTCGCCGATGACGACCGTGTCGTGCCGACTGACCTAGGTCAGTGCGGCCGTGTCTGTGGTGCTTCGCAACCGCGTGGCAGTGGTATCTCTGACAGTTTGGCTACCTGCAGTGGAAGCGGTTGTCAAAGGAAGGCTATTGTGTAGTGCGAAGGCGATGCAAGACTTCCACTGCTGGAACGGCTTCCCTTCCGCCCGCGCGACGGCTCTGGACAGATGTTGTCCTGCCAGGTCACCGTGTCACCGGGGCTCACCTTACGCGTTCGGGACACCGAGTGAATGGTCGACACCGGGTGACGTCGACGTTTGTCTCGCCGAGCCCAGGCGTCGACCTCTCTTCAGGTGCGACGGTTCACCGGTCGATGCGACCGGTCAAAGCATGGCTGAGCTGGGACGGTGCAGTGGCCTGTAGGCCTCACAGGTATGGCCCATGGCTATTATCTGGAGCTTTTTCATTCTCTAAAGGGAGAGGAACGCAGACAATAGGGTCTTGATAGATCTTGCTTCGAAGGATCCACTCCGCTTGTTCCTTCTCCTTTTTTCCCTTTCGACACCTGGAAACTGCAGAAACACGAACAGAAACGACATATTCACTGAAGAAGGACTTTGTGCGAAACTCCGCGTGCTTTCCACTCATCACCTTGGAGGATGGAGACGAAGTAGAGAACGACGATGCGGCCAATCGAACGCTGGGGCGCTCGGAGCGAGAGCAACTTGTTGGATCCACGTTTCGCGAAAGTGTGCAACGACAGCGAGACACATCCAGCCTCTTCCTGTTTTTCTATTTGAGGAAGGTATGAGGTATAGGTATACGCTATACTATTATACAATTGTATACAATTTTATACAGTTATATATAGTTATATGATATCCTGCATACGAATCACAATGTCAAGGATGAGTCTAGTCGTGGTGATTATGGAATGGTTTTGTCACGGTTTGCATTCGTAGGTCCCATGTTTCAGCATTAAAAATCACTTATGCACCTGCAGTGCTGCCGAGGCAATGATTTGATTGCTGTTTCTGTTGGCATGCTGCACGTTTCCCCAACAGGAAATAGAGTCCACCCCGTTTGATTTGAAGGCTTTCCGAGCACGGGACTGAAGGCTTCCCGCGTCTTGAGGTTCAACGGCGAGCTCCGGATAGATCAGCTGGCCGTGGCGGACTCAGCGAGAGAGAGGGGGAAATATGGGATCCACGATTGGTCCTTCATGGTGATTTGATGTGGGAACCGAATCTTGCCCGCTGTTCACGGCAACAGGACCACAACCCTAGCAGAAACTTCATTCCTCGCTCGCTGTCTGGCTGACTGGCTGCCTGGCTGCTCTCTGTCTGTCTGTCCGTCGGTCCGTGCAGACGGCACGTCCCCCACCCATGATTTCCTGGTTGCCAGTGACCTGGTTTTGTTGTCTTTTGCCATGCGCTGGTAGAAGGCCAGGTGCAGTGGCTTGCCGAGAACTTTCGAAACCAGCCGGCCACCGTCAATGATCGCCCAGGTAGGTCTGGTCATCGAAGGCGTGCCGTTGCCGAACTTGCAGCGAGCGATCTGTTTTTTCACTCGCGCTTCCGGGACAACATGTTTTCATTCCATCATATGATATAACATGATATAGCTATATATAACTATAATGTGGACTCTTGATTAATACATCCCCCATATGAAGAGGATTTTCACAATTCAAATGGGGGAGGTTAAGGTTATTAATCAAGAGCCTACATCAATATGGGCTGGATGTTGGAGACTTCAGTCGTTCTTGATGATTCACATGGTGTGGAGGCCTCCGGAAGCCATGAAGGCCAATGTCATAATGTAATATAGATCATATAGAAGGCTCCTGAATTGGCATCTCACCTAACACTGTATGGATGAACTCTGATGAACTATATAGATTTCCCCCACTGTTTGGGGCACCCCACTTGCGGGAGCGTCCAAAGCTGTTTTCATTTCGTCCAGGTCCGTCACGATCTCTTTCAAGTTCATCGGTTCGATTCCTCAGAACCTCTGACCGAAGAGTTTTCATTTCTGGGATCGGCGCTCGGCTCCTCCAAAAAGCGCCGTCTCACTACGTCATCAGAAGCCATTCTCACCACCAAGGTGTGGGGCACTGCGGCAGCATTGGTCTTGAGCTTAAAGCTGACCCCGAAAGTGATTGAATACAAGCAAGTACAAGCATTGCGCGCCATCGTTGGTTTGGTGGATGCCAGCATTTCTGCTCATTGATTTTGACTCATATTGTTTTTCTTGGTTCTTTTTTCTTGGGTCCAATGAGGCCTCCAGCGAGCCTAGACAGAGACGTGAGGTGTGGGACGACCGGACGACCGGACGGTCGTGTCTCGATGTCAGGTTTATGGCAGCTATGACGATATATTTGTAGATGAGGTAGGTAGATAAGCTATATATACTGACTCCAAGAGAGATGGGAGTAGTCGGACGATCTTGAGATGTTATTTTCCTATCTCATGTGCTCTGTGCATATTTGGGCAATGTGATTTTTGTTTTGCTATCTCATGTGTGTAATCTGAATTGGGGGACCATATAGTCCTATCTCAGCAGCAAAGCCAAAGCAAACAGACCTGATTTTATATTGTTTGTTGCAGCGAGTGTGTCCATGCCCACAAGCTCCTGACTCATTTTTTTTGGACTATTGTTTAGGCCTGGACATGCCTGGACACACCGTCGCGTGAAGGGCCGTAACATCCTGTCTCATTTGCTAAAGTTGATGTGCATGAATTTATTTGTCTATAAGGTCCTGTCTCATCTGCATGTCCCTTTTCAACAAAAACGACCATAAGGTCCCGTCTCACCTGAGGGTAGTATAAGCTAATATGGTATATTAAGGTAGGTATATATTAAGCTATGGTATATTTAGCTCTAACCACGTAACCAGCTATGACGGTTCTGTACTCTGGGTAGAGAAGAAGGTAGGGTCGAATTAATCAGGGCTGGTAGGTTGGTCGGTCCTATTGGACGGTTGGTTTCTTTTCTTCCCACATTGACCTGGAGTACGTTTGAGAGGCCATGGCCCAAGGAAGGGCCGGAGCTGGTCGGAGACCCATGGCTTGCCATGAAATTCAAGAAGAAGAAGAAGTTCGTGGCGGCAAAGTCCACGAAGTCGGATCAAGACGTGGATGAGAAGGAGGAGGAGGTGGGTGCTTGCGATCATGTCGTAAGACGACACTCCGAACAGGTCACCATGGTGACGTGGATGGCATGGCCCCGAAACAAAAATAGAACAATGTTCCTCTACAAACAGATGGTCTTCCCACGTGCATGTTCGTTCCAGGGAGTGTATGTCGTTTGTGTTTCGGCGACATGGATTCCTTCCAAGCTGAGCTTCCCAGCTGTAGGGCCGTAGGACCCGGTCGTTTCGAAAGAGTGGAATCCCAGCTGTAGGACCCCTGTCAGGTGGTTCCATCAACGGTTGGGAAGCTGGAAGAGGCTGGTTGGAAGGGCTTTTGTACAGCTTTCACGAACATCCTCAGCCGTGAGCTGAAGACCTCACAGACGCCCATCCTGGCGGAAACCGAAGTGGAGGAGAAGCTTCAAAAGAGCAAGGCGGAGTTTAAGGAGAAGAAACTGCAAGCGCTGGAGAACAGGGTGGAGAAGGATAAGGGACATGAAGCTGTGAATATTTTGGAGAAGAACTTTGAGATGCAGCTACGTAAGTATGCCACACAGGGTGTGGTTCGTCTCTTCAACGCCGTCAAGGAGTACCAGGCTCATGCAGGTGATGACAAGGCCGAAAAGTACAAGTTCAACAAGATGCCTTTGCGACAACGTGCCAAGCTCATGGCCGAGAGCAAGAAGGAGAAGTTCGAGAACGCCTTGAAGAAAACAACGACTAAGAAGGATAAGAAATTGAAGGCGCAGGGTGGCGGCGGGGAACCAAACTGTCTATACATTGTGAATGGGAGATGATTGTGAACACATTTCTTTTTGCATCCTATCGAAGTGAGAATGGAATCCACTATAGTCCAAAACAGGTTGGCTATGACCGGCTCAGTTGAAACCCACGGGACCACTGATTGGTGTTGGATTAGTTTCACAGCCAAGCTTCACAGCACCCGGGCCCATACTTTCCACCCTTTGTGTATGAGCAGAACGAGTACCGTCCTGCCAGGGCCAGACGACCGCGAGGGCGCGAAGGAAGGAGAGACCAGCTGGTTCTGCCCTTGAGCACAATATGCTTGACGAGTTCGGGTGATTTGATGGCCTTCTGGCACCTGGATCGTCTCACCCTGGCACCTGGGAAGAATGTTTCACAGATAGACCAATCGAAAGGAAATGGATTGAAATGGTCTCAGCATCAGAAAGGCTTCAATGCATTGAGACATGATGGTAGGCCTAGGATGAAAGGGCTCCAGGGCCACGTGATGCCATAGGCATTTGTCACCACAGCTGAACGCATGCCTCGGGTCGCAGCCCTGATATATTCTCTTCACACCCTGCGAGGTCTTCACGGTCACCCTCACCCAGGTGGTGATGAATGTCAACCAGACGTCCGTGACCGAAGAGATGCTTTTCGCAAATGTCTGAAACGCCACCACGCACAGCCCTTTTCTGGTCAACCTTGAAGGTGAACCTGGAAGAAAGGCAGAGGGAGGAGGGAGGAAGACGACATCATTTTTTGGTGCTAAAGTAGGTGATCCGTGGATGCTAAAAGACAGAAAGGCACAGAAACAAATGCCTCCCCTCCAAGAGACATGGAAGTGGGGAAAAAAAATGTTGGGAAAGGTAACGTCATCTTCCAAGGGGCCATGCCATCCGCTTCCACGATTCTTTCAGAGAGTGTATCAAAGAAACCCGGCTGCTGAGGCCCAACCGTTGCCGTGA